CTGCCTGAGACCTTGCCCGTGTGCGTCAGCAGGTCTGCAGACAGGCGGGGCATTACGATCATTGTTCCCTTCAAGCCCAGCTCCCGGCGGCCGGGGGCTGATCTCAGCCTTTGCTCTTGCAGAACAAGGCGGTTCCTGCCGTGTGGCCGTGGGGAAGGTTTCGAAAGGCGCCCCCAATGGCCCCTAAAGGCTTAACAAGCCGACGTCAGATAAAAAGAACTGGAGTCTATTGATTTTCTTACATGATCTCAAGATTTGAAAGCCAATTTCACGATTCTGAGGAGCCTGACTCACAACTTGTGAACATTTGGGGCTGGCGATGCTGCACAAGGCCTGGAGTGGAGCTGGGCTTTGCTCCAGACTCCTCCTCACCCTGCCCCACCGCCGCCCCACGCCCTGCTCGCTTCCTCTTTGCCTGCTTACAGCTCCTTCCCAAACCCTCCCCAGCCACAAACCCTGGAGTCTGCTCCTCTGGCTGCCAGCCCTGGCCTCCCTCTGTCCCTTGTTATCCGCTGCGTGCCAAGACGTCAGCCCCAGTCCACTTAGTGTCCCTTCCTGTGACGTAGTGGGGGTAATTGCTGGGCTGTGGTGACCCCTGCTGTCTGGAGCAAGACCCAGCAGGGGAAACCTCGCTAGGCAGAGGTAAGGCCAAACTGGTTGAACCAGTGGCCAGACACCCCCCATGGAGAGGAACAAAGGAAGGTGGAATGCGGCCCTGACTGGGGGGCAGGGCTGCAAGGGAATTTAGTTAGACTGTGGGAGAGCATGGAGGAGGGCCTAGAAGAAGGGACTGGAGTTTAGGGGCCCAGTCTCCCCATCTCAAGGGGGCCTGAGGCATCCTAGCCCAGCTCTGTGGCCAGATTCCATCTGTGCTGGGCTGTATCCTGGAGAGGCAATAAACTTCCTCTATTCCACCGGCTGGTGCAGTCTGTTTGTGCCATTTCGGGGTGCAGGAGACGGGGGACCCCCAACGCGCCGTCACACTTCCCCTTTGAACATCTTGCCTGGGACCTCCCTTCCCCTGGGCTCCCGGGGCCTGTGGGACGTTCGCCCCGGCCCTGCCTCCCCGGGCTGTGTCGGAGACACGCACACAAGCACGGTGCCACTTCAGACCAGGGGAGAGGGCTGGATCCCGCCCGCATCACGGGGAGATGGAATACAACAGCTGCGCCGAGGAGAGGGGGACATGGCAGAATCTGAGGGGGAAGCAGCCGCCAGCAATCTCCCTTTTGCGGTGTGTCTCTCGGCCATCATTCAATGCAGCTAACGCAGTGCTCCAGAGATCGAACCCGCTGGAATGCAATGGCGTCCCTGCGGCTGAGTGCACTCAGAGCCCCCTGCTCGCTGGAGAGGCGTGGAGGAGAAGAAAAGAGAGTTTTCCTAAACACAAGTTCTTGCTCACCCGCTCTTCGTTCGCTATCATATGTGACCATTCTCCACGCCGCTTGCGGGGCAGCACTACCCGCCCGCTCAGCACGGCACTCAGGGCTGCAGGGGGCTGTGACGGCGCGTTGGGGTTTTCCCATTTCCTGCACCCCCGTAATGGCATGGACAGACTCCCCCAGCCAGTAGAACAGAGGGAGTTTATTGCTTCTCCAGGATACAGCACAGCACAGATGGAATCTGGTTCCAGGGCAGGCCTAGGATGCCTCAGCCCCCCTGGAGATGGGGGGAGCCTGGGCCCCTAAATCCCAGCCCATTGCCTAGGCTGCTTCCTCCATGATACCAGCCAGAAACCTAACTCCCTCACTTCCAGCCCTGCCCCCAGCCAGGGCTCCACTCCCCTTCTTCCCATTGTTCCGCTCCCTGGGAGATAACTGGTCGGACTGGTTCGAAGCCCCCTTGCATAATGACTCATCCCCTGCCCTGCTGGGCCGTGCTACAGACAGCAGCCAACGGAGGTCACCCACAACCCACTGCCTAGCATAGCAACCAGCAAGGTACCCCCCACTACGTCACAGGGGCCCACTCGTGAATCACATTGGGGTCAGTGAGCTTAGCACGCTGGGGGCAATCGCTTGGCTCATGCACTCCATGGACCGTGGGCAGGTCCCACCCCAGTCTCTGTGGCAGGCAGTGGCCACAGCCACACTCAGAGCTGGAGTCTCCCCATGTTGGTCTGCAACGTGTCCGTCATTCGCTCTCTGCTCATGGCTACAAGGGACACTGTTGACTCGTATCCAGCTTCTCATCCCCAGGTCCATTTCTGCTGAGCTGCTTCTTAGCCAGTCAGTCCTCAGCCTGTAACAATGCTTGGGATTCTTCAGAATCTCATCAGATTTCTTTTGGCCCAATCCTCCAATTTTTTTCGTTAATCTAGACCTTCTCCCTATCCTCCAACGTATTTACCTCTCTCACCAGTTTAGTATCATTGGCAAACTTGCTGAGGGTGCAATCCATCCCCTCATCGAGGCCATCAATAAAGCTGTTGAACAAAACCAGCCTTAGAACTGATCCTTGGGGCACTCCGCTAGAAACCGACTGCCAACCCAACATCGAGCCGTTAATCACTGCCCGTTGTGCCCGACAATCTAGCCAGCTTTCTATCCACCTTACAATCCATTTATCCAATCCGTACTTCCTCCACTTGCTGGCAAGAATATTGTGGGAGACGTATCAAAAGCTTTGCTAAAGTCAAGGTAGATCACATCCACTGACGTCCCCATATCTACTGAGCCAGTTACCTCATCATAGAAGGCAATCAGGCTGATCAGGCGCGACTTGCCTTTGGTGAATCCATGCTGACTATTCCTGATCATTTTCCCCTCTTCCAAGTGCTTCAAAATGGATTCCTTGAGGATCCCTCCATGATTTTTCCAGGGACTGAGGTGAGGCCGACTGGTCTGTAGTTCCCTGGATCGTCCTTCTTCCTCTTTTTACAGATGGGCACGACATTTTCTTGAAAACTGTTACAATGTCCCCTCCGCCTTCTCTTCTCTGGACTAAACAAACCCAGTTCTTTCAGTCTGCCCTCACAGGGCATGTTCTCTAGCCCACTCACCACTTTTGTTGCTCTTCTCTGAACTTTCTCCAGTTTGTCCGCATCTGTGCTGAACGTGGCGCCCAGAACTGGACACAAGACTCCAGCTGAGGCCATGTCAGCGGAAGGCCATGGAGTGGAAGCATTACTTCTCAGACGGCATTAGAAACCCTAGCTCTTTGGGGGACACCTGGCAGATTTTAATGGAGAAGCTACGCGTCGCTACAAATGTGTGTGAAGTGCTGGAGGGCTGTGAAGTAATGTGTATGGAACCCTCTTGTTTTCTCCCTGTTCCCTTCCACAGGCCGGGCTGGAAGAGGAGCTAACGAGATTTCTCAGGTCTATTCCCCTCTCGCCACCACTCGGCACAGTACAGCGCATCTCGGCTCACGGCTCCCATCTGGGGGTGTCTGCTTGTGTGCTGCTGTTTGCCATCCGCATCGCGGCAGCTGGGAGCCCGCGGCGCTGCTAAGGACCGTTTCAAGCCTAGACCCATTATTTTCTCACCATATGTTTGCACAGAAATCAGCTTCCCATGGAAAGGGCCCGATGCTGCAGGGCGTGGAGCTGCCTCACCTTGCATCAGAGCTACTAGGAGACGTGTGCAATGCAGGAGCTCCTCCCAGGGGACGCTCAGTGCCGTGCGTGTCGCGCCGTGGTCCTGCTGGAAGACTGCCCCTTCCCCACTAATTGCCCCTCAAGCCACACAGTCGCCATCGACTCCCCTGAGCCCGGCTGTCAGGGTCCAGCGGCGGAGCACGTGGGTTTTATGTTAAGCCCCGAACACAGATGTTTGTGCCTGTTGCAAATGCTGAAATGAGGATCTTTGCTTTGGCGCTTGGCACCGCCCCGGGGAGGAACGCTGGGCCCTGGGAACCTGCTTCCTGGCTGCCTCGTGCCTTCCTCCCCTTACACTCCTGCCCAGATCCGGGGGCGAATGGCGCCTTTTGGCTGGGAGGTGGTTCACGCGCTGCACGGGTGCACATCACGACACAAAGCAGAAGGCTGCAGCCAGGCAGAAGGGGGGACGCAGGCCGCCGCGCCGCTGCCCTTTCCGTAGCCGAGGGTAAATGTCCCCGCGGGTGAATAATGGTTCTCAAGCCAGGAGCCACAAGGGACCGGGTGGGAGGAGACCCAGGTTCTGTTCTTGTTCCTGGGAGCGCGCAGCCTGTGTGCGAACCGGAGGCCAGCCTGCTACCCAGTTGTTCAGGGAGAAAAGATGCTCAGGGCTGGTCCATACTTTAAACCATTCTGGCTTGCGGCTTTCATCCGCGGCTTGGCCATACGGGCCAGGCATTTTCTTCTCCACCTTCGTAGCTCTGAAAGCCATCAGGACGCAGCTGCATTTACACTATGATAATACGCGACCCAGGAAAGGCTCACTACATGTTAATCTATCCAGAGGCAAATTCCTTTTGGCTAATAAAAGTGCTGCACAGGAAGCTCAAAACCCAGCAGCAATTAATTATTGACAGCGCATGTGAATTAGAGATAAAAGAAAAGTCATTCTTCCTCACACGCAAGATAGTAAATAAATTTAATTATTGTACTAGAAGCAAGGGATCTTATTCGGTATTAAGTTTTATTAGCGGAGACATTTAAAAGCATGTCATCCTAACAAAAAGGTCTTGTGTAATCCTGAATGCACCACTTTGGTACAAGGCTCTGAAGTGAATAGACTTAATTGAGCAAGTGGTAGCAGATGGTGTGCTGTAGAGACAGGTATTGTGCAGGTTTATTGTCAATTAACTTTTGTCTACATCTGCCTGTGGCAAATTGCCTGCTGAGTGTGTCCCTGAGACCGCCTTCCGCACGCACGGGGCTCACCCTCCCCGGGCTCCAGCGCCTAAGGCCGCTCCTCGGCGCTAGCCCTCCAGGAGCCCCGGGGCAGCCAGGGCTGCTTGCCCAGGGGTGGCCTGTCCCCGTGGCCGGCAGGGAGCCCACAGGGCTGAGATCCCTTGGGGGCTGGGCTCCGGCTGCAGAACTAACCCTCTTCCTCTCTCCTCTTCCTTCCCCGCAGGAGCGTGATGCCCAAGACTCTGGAGGGGCAAATCACGATGGAGAAGACGCCCAGCTACTTTGTGACCAACGAGGCCCCGAAGCGCATCCACTCCATGGCCAAGGACACCAAGCTGATCGTGGTGGTGCGGGACCCCGTCACCCGGGCCATCTCGGACTACACGCAGACGCTCTCCAAGAAGCCCGAGATCCCCACCTTCGAAGTGCTGGCCTTCAAGAACCGCACCCTGGGGCTGATCGACGCCTCCTGGAGCGCCATCCGCATCGGGATGTACGTGCTGCACCTGGAGAGCTGGCTCCAGTACTTCCCCCTCTCCCAGATCCTCTTTGTCAGCGGCGAGCGCCTGATCGTTGACCCCGCGGGGGAGATGGGCAAGGTGCAGGACTTCCTGGGCCTCAAGCGGGTCGTGACCGAGAAGCACTTTTATTTCAATAAAACCAAGGGGTTCCCGTGTCTGAAGAAGCCAGAGGACAGCGGTGCCCCCCGGTGCCTGGGCAAGTCCAAGGGCCGGACTCACCCCCAGATAGACCCCGACGTTATCCACAGACTGCGCAAGTTCTACAAGCCCTTCAACGCCATGTTTTACCAAATGACGGGCCAAGATTTCCAGTGGGAGCAGGAGGAAAGGGAGGAGTGAAGCCCAGGGCAGGGACGAGCTCGGCTTGCTGCAGGCGAATCATTGCCAGAGACTTGCAGAGGGCGAAGGCCTGGGTCCTGTGAGCGGGGGACGGGCACCGTGGAGCGGACGGCATTGCCAGCTCCGCCGCCCTCCTGCCCCCGCCAGTGCCAGTTGCATGGGGGTGCTCCGAGCTCTCCCACTCTCTTGTATTGCAGGGATGGCTGGGGAGGCTACCTGGCCCTAGCACCTAGTTCTGTGCTTCCCGTCGGTCACGCTCAGAGCCCTGCCCGCAGCCGCAGCGCCTGAGGGATGCAGCCACCAGGCACGCTGACACATTCGCCCTCGTCTGCACTACTTTAGTTTTGCCTTCTGGGCAGTCAGGTGACCCCCACACGCAGACACGCACACGCACGCACTAGTCACAGATACTTGCACACTGGTGACCCCTTGCACTAGCCCCCACTTACCAAGTGCCGGGCCCGAGTCTTTCCTCGCTTTGGGGCCGAAGTCCCTTGTCTGACCAGAGCGGCTGCCGGGTTCCTCTGTGGGCAGGGAGACCAGAGCCCGGGTTTTCCCTCGGATCCCTGCTAGGCCCCTTCAGCTGAGCGCGCTCCAAGCCCCTGTCCCGCACGGGCACCCCAGGGAGCCAGGCGGAGCCAGCAGAGCACTTGGCCTCCTCGCAGAAGGGCTGTGCCCCCTCCCAGCAGGTGGCAGGGGGCTTTTTAGTTCTTTAGCTAGGAGAACCGTGTCCCAGCGCCCAGGGTGCTGCACAAACCCAGCCACGGGCCTGATGGTCAGAAATACTGAGCAGCACAAACGCCCTGGACTGCGGGTGCTGGTCGGTGGGATGGCGGGTGCCCCACCCCTCTGAAAATCGGGACTCGGCTGCTAAACGTAAGGGAGCTGGTTTGCAAACCCGCGATTAGTTCTTTAGCTAGGAGAACCGTGTCCCAGCGCCCAGGGTGCTGCACAAACCCAGCCACGGGCCTGATGGTCAGAAATACTGAGCAGCACAAACGCCCTGGACTGCGGGTGCTGGTCGGTGGGATGGCGGGTGCCCCACCCCTCTGAAAATCGGGACTCGGCTGCTAAACGTAAGGGAGCTGGTTTGCAAACCCGCGACACCCGCCGGGAGCGGGGCAGCGGGTTTGGCCCCACGCCGGAGAGGAATTCAGGGACAGTGCGCACAAAGGACAACACCGTGCTGCCTGCCAGGAACCTGGCCTTCCTGGGGCGGATTCCTTGCTGTCTGGGTTGCTTTTCTTTTCCTTTTATTTAGTGTTTCCAAGAGCAGCAGTGCGGCCTGCTGGGGCGGAGGGATGGGCGGGAGGTGGGGGGGAAGAGTTTTCTTTGTATCAAGCCTCAGTGCTCCTTTGAGATGGTGCTTTAAGAAAGCAGCTTATGTATTCCTGAGCAAGACCAGGGCTCGGTTTTGATTAAGGTGGCAAGAAATCCTTGTTGATCCGACTAACCAAAGGAAATGTCACTAACACACCGTTAAGCTATGTAACAAGCTGAACCTGCGTTGGGTTTCAGGGCCTGTCATGTGCTTCATTACCCAAGAAAGCGGAGCGCTTGCTCTGGATTGTATAAAAGGAGCTAAATTCATTTGTCAGATTTCGCCGGGGCCAGGTTTGGGGACCGTCACATGGTTCCCGCCGAAGTAAATGTCAGTGCGTATTAGCCTGATTAGGTTTGAAACCAGCGGCTGACATAAAGCGCGCTCCCCGCCAGCAAACCAGAGCGCAGCGTGCAGGCGCTGGGGGGGGCGTTCGGTTGTTTCGGATGTCATTAGGGCGTCATTGCTTCTGTGGCATGAACCCCGGCTTGTTGTGCCGTTCAAAGCCCATCGACTCCTGGTTTCAGATGTAAACTCTCCCGTCACCGGGGCCCGGCTCCGCAGACACCCTCGGCCGCTTTCTATTTCGCAGGCCTCACAAGCCCTGAACGCGATTTGGCCTCACTCCTGCTGGAGGCCGAGTCCCGGATGGAGAGACAAGCTTGCCCGTCAGCCCTGGGAAGACATTGGAGCCGAGGGCCCTCAGCGGCTGGCAGGATCCAGCCCTTCCGGGTTGCAGAGGGCAGCCCCTGAGCAGTCCAGACAATTGCAGGGTGAACCCAAGCTGCTGTTGGCCCCCCCCTCCCAGAGCAGAGGCCCCATCCCGCCTCCAAACTGGTCCTTGCGCATGTGAGACCCTGCCGAGCCGGGGCGTCGTGCTCCTCCCTGCGGTGCCGGTGGGGATCGGGGGGGGGCAGCCACCAGTGGCTCGCGCTACATGTGTCCTTGGGCCGGTTTCGCGCCCGCCTGCTCCTTCCCCAGGCCCGTGCCCGGGCGCCGAGCCTGCCTGTGCACTGACTGTGCTGTTCTGCAGGGGGTAAAGCCCTTTGACCCATAGCGGGGCTGGAGACGTAGCTTAATCCTGCCTGCTCCCAGATACACCCCCTGCCCTGCCGCTCTGTTCCCACAGCAGCCCCATGACGCTGCCCCGGCTCCCCCACAGAGCCTGGCCACGGCAGCCCCGTCCCGCCCAGGCGCTCACGCGGCAAACGGCGTGTGGGGAGGCAGGGCCCATGCGGCCGCTACCAGAGCTCTCTGGCCGGCCGTGCCCATGGCACGCAGCCCCACGGGTGTCCCCTGGCCCAGTCGTCTTGCCACATTTGGAGAGGTGTATTTTGACATGGGTCTCTGCCCTGGCAAGCAAAGGGCTGTGCTGCTGGCTAGGCTGCCGGAGACCATTCATGGCCTGCCCTGCCGACAAGGCAAAGAGCCAGGAGAGACCCTCGTGCCGGGGCTGGGGGGGCCGTTCATAGCCCCGCACATGCTGCTGTTTGGGAGGGGAGGCCTTGCACAGCCGGCGACCTGGCTTTGTGGGCTTGGGCACGATGGCCATTCCCATGTCCCTGCCTCCCGCCTGGCCGCAACAAGCTTCTGCAGTGGGCTAGTGTCCGAGGCGGGCGCATCCCCCGCGAGAGGGGCACCTGCTAGGAGACAGCTGGGTAATAACTTTTTTTTTTTACTATTGAAATGTCAGCACACCCCACCCAGGAGATTGGATTTTGTATTTGATTTCCATTAGCAAAGCATAAATTATATTTAATTTTATACACAGCGACTGGATGATTCATTGTTATGGAAAAGCTGGTACTTAATGGTTCAGAAACGAGAATGGAGAATTCGTCCTTCTGAAACCAAACTGCTGTGCTGGCACCGCCTCCCAGGCACGCCTGTCTGCACCAGCCTGTGCTGAACAGCGCGCGCCTCGGAAAACCGGGACCCAACAGCGCGCCCCAAGAAAACGTTGTGGCTGTCTCTGCCGCTGCCCAGGTACATCCCAAAGCAGCGGGAGTGGCCAGGCTGAGGAGCATTCTCTGCACTAACCAAGTAATCAACATAACAGCAGAACAGCCAGGCCGGGTCAGACCAACGGCCCGTCCAGCCCAGCGTCCTGTCGGCCCACAGTGGCCAAGGCCAGAGGCCCCAGAGGGAGGGATCACAACACGTAATCCTCACGTGATCCCTCCCCTGTCACCCATTTCTAGACAGAGGCCAGGGACCCCGTTCCTACCCAGCCTGGCTAATAGCCATTGATGGACCTAACCTCCATGAATCTAGATAGCTCTTTTTTGAACCCTGTCATAGACCTAGTCTTCACAGCATCCTCTGGCGAGGAGTTCCACAGGTTGGCTGTGCATTGTGTAAAGGAAAACTTCCTTTTAACACCTGCTACCTATTAATTTCATTTGGTGGTCCCTAGTTCTTATATAACGGAAAGAAGTAAATAACTTTTCCTTATTCACTTTTTCCACACCACTCATGATTTTATAGACCTTGTAACCGGTCCACCTGCTGGTGAGCACCCTGCTGTGGTCAAGCGGCGCTGTGCAGGATCTGTGCCTGGTTGCCCTCAAAGTCCTGAAACCAGGACCTGACTAGCCCTGTCCATGGTGCTAGCAAGTCTCTGCTTGTGGCTGAGCTTCAGACCAGATCTAGGCTCAGCTCACACTGGGAGCTGGCCATAGTGCTGATTCCCCCAGTCAGGGTCTAGACCTGCCTGGATGGAGCTCCTGAAGGGAACTGGCAGAGCCCAGCCCTGCAGCTTCTTTTATACCCCTCTGCTGGGTCCTGATTGGCTGCCGCAGAGACAGCCACTCCATAGTGCCTGGAGGACCTCTTCTCCGCTCCTCCTGCTGGGATGGGGTTGCGGCAAGACCGCTGGCCTCCTGTAGGGGGCATTGGGGCCTAGTCCAGCCCGTCACAGGCCTCTGTCATATCCCCTTACTCTCTTCTTTTATAAGCTGAAAAGTCCCCATCTTTTTAATCTCTGGTCACATGGGGCCCGTTCCAAACCCCTCAGCATTTTTTGTTGCCCTTTTCTGAACCTTTTCCAGTGCCAAGAGAGCTTTTCTGAGAGGAGGCAGCCACATGTGTCCGCAGGATTCAAGACGTGGGCGTATCATGGATTTATACAGAGGCAGTGAGATATTCTTCATCTTATTCTCCATCCCTTTTGGAATGACTCCCGGCATCCTCTTTGCTTTTCTGAGGGCCGCTGCGCCTGAGTGGCTGTTTGCAGAGAACTCTCCACAGTGACCCCAAGACCTCTCTCTGGAGTAGTTGTAGCTGAATCTGCCGGATACAGCGGGGACAGGTCCACACCGTGGGGGAGCCGGGCCCAGTCCGCCACTTGGCATGCAGGCTGGGGGAGATGTATTTCCCTCCTGGCTTCCCATGCCGGTGAGCGCAAAGCAGATCCCACAGTACCTGGGCGCAGGAAGAGAACAATCCATGCGGCTGCTCCTAGGCAGACAACCTGCTGGGCCAGTCGGGGGCTCTGGGCCCTGCTTGGGTGTCTGGGGTGGAGCAGCACCGCATCCAAGGCCCCACACTGGGCCCCTTGCTCGCCCCTCCTATGACCATCCCTGCAAACAACAGCTGCCTGTGAATTGCAAACCCCATTCATCAGGAGGCCGATACAGAGTAATCGGGGTTGCTTGGTAAGTGGGTACAAGCCGACAATCTGCATCTCAACCCGGCGCCACGGCACCAGGCACGTGTGAACCCGGCAACACAGCAGTGTGCACGTGTGAACCTGGCAACACAGCAGTGTGCACGTGTGAACCCGGCAACACAGCACCGTGCACGTGTGAGGCCAGCAACACAGCACCGTGCATGTGTGAACCTGGCCACAGGGCAGCCTGCACATGTGAACCCAGCAACACGACACCATGAATGTGTGAACCCGGCAACACAGCAGAGTGCACGTGTGAACCCAGCAACACAGCAGTGTGAACATGTGAACCCAGTGACATGGCAGCGTGCACGTGTGAACCCAGCAACATGGCAGCGTGCATGTGTGAACCCAGTGACACGGCAGCGTGCACGTGTGAACCCAGCGACATGGCAGTGTGCACGTGTGAACCCAGTGACCCGGCAGCGTGCACATGTGAACCCAGTGACCCGGCAGCATGCACCTGTGAACCCAGTGACCCGGCAGTGTGCACATGTGAACCCAGTGACCCGGCAGCGTGCATGTGTGAACCCAGCGACACGGCAGCGTGCATGTGTGAACCCAGGGACCTGGCAGCGTGCATGTGTGAACCCAGCAACACGGCAGCATGCACGTGTGAACCCAGTGACACGGCAGCATGCACGTGTGAACCCAGTGACCCGGCAGCGTGCATGTGTGAACCCAGAGACCCAGCAGCATGCACGTGTGAATCGAGCGACACGGCAGCGTGCATGTGTGAACCCAGGGACCTGGCAGCGTGCATGTGTGAACCCAGCAACACGGCAGCATGCACGTGTGAACCCAGTGACCCGGCAGCGTGCATGTGTGAACCCAGAGACCCAGCAGCATGCACGTGTGAATCGAGCGACACGGCAGCGTGCATGTGTGAACCCAGGGACCTGGC